CTGGTCATAAATTTGATATTGATGGAGTTCCGATCCGGTAACATTTATCCGGATAATTATCGGATATCCGGATAAAATTTAGATTGGATACTCGGATAATGGATAGCGGGTATCCATTTACTATTGATATACGGAATCCGAAATCCGGATAATTATTCGATTACCTATCGGATTATCCGGATAATTCAGTTATGGATACGGATTTATCCGGATTGGAACTCTAAATACAGTATTAATCATAAAATAAAGTTTTGTGGTCATAATTTTCTTTTGGAACTTCAGATTATAACTTTGAGTTGGCAAGTAACGTTAATGTTCAATTAGATTCATAAAAACGGCTAATAATTAAATTATATGTGAATGCAAAATGTTTTTTTTTTTCTTAGTAATTTTATTAAAATTTTGTATCAGTATCTTTAAAGTGTTAATATAATGGGCCATTAAAATTGTTAGCAATTGCCTCGGATGATAACTGAGGCACCTATTAACGGGTTATTCACCTTATCTGACAACCTTGGTTCTTATTTACATATTGCAATTTTTATCCGATATCAAATTAATAAAATAACGAGATATTTTAATATTGATAATCTAATTTGAGTCATATAACTGGTTGATCAAATAAAATTGAATAACACGCTTTATCAACCAATCAATATTATTAAATATTAATTTATAGTATTAGTTATTTCTAAAAATTTTTATATAGAAACATTACAGTTTTAAAATCTTTATAGTAATGTGACGAATTAAAATGAAATCAAATTAAAATGAAATTTGTATAGTAAATAGACAAGCCGCCAAAAAATACAAATTTTTTTTTAGCGGTGATTTTTTTTTTAGCATTTTTTTTTAGAATTAGGCCCAGTTTTAAAGTATAGTTTTAAGGGTTAATTAAATAGAATTTTTAAATTTTATTTTGATTTGCAATGTTAATTAAATTTAATTTTTTGTTATTAAATTTTGTATTAAATATGTATTAATATAAATTATAAGACTATTTTAACGCTCACCAGAGATGAAATTCACTGTTTCTAAAAAAAAAAAAAAAAGGCTTTAATAAAAAACCCTAACTTTTAACTATATAATTTAGGCCCTAACTTTAAAGTTTAATTTAGCTTTAAAAGTAGAGGTAAAATTTTTTCGTAATATTGTAATACGTATTTAAAAAAACATAGTAGTGAACTTCACTCTCGATGAATGCTAAATAAATTCTAAATAAAAACTATTTAATATATGAAGTATTATATAAAATAAAATTTAGATAAAATTTATAATATACTTACAGTATTCTGTAAAAAATTATTTATAGTATACTGTATAAATAATTATATGTACTACTACAGTATATATACATTATATAAAAAAAAAACAAAGCATTTTTAAAGAAAATTTTTTGTATATACAGTATACAATGCTATATATATACAATTATATATACAGTATCTAGTACTGTATATTGTAGTACTGTAGCATGTATATAATGTATATACTGCATAGTATTTAAACCTACAAAATGCTTTATACAGTTTTAATTTTTTTCCTTATATGGTTAGTAATAGGTATAATGAAAATTCAGGCCGGACTAAAAACTCCGTTAAAACTGTGCGTATAGAAAGCTCAGCTATACGGTATACAGTAGCATAACCTCTATGTCTACCACAGTATACTATATAATAAATATTAGATATAGTTATATATATTGTATATATAGTTATACTGAACGTAGAAGATGTTGAAACACATTTATGTAATTATTAATAACCAGATTTCGAAATTATATGTCTAACACTATCTTATTGTCCGAAGCGCAGCGAGTACTTTGATCAAAGTAAACCAATGGAAATCTGGTTCTCATGATGATCTGCAGTAAGTATAACAAATACTATAATGCGTTTATGTTATTGGCTTTGGAGCGTGGTGGAGGACTTACAATAGAAAAGTAATCGTGCATATACGTACGTACGTTAGTATTATCTGTTATGTGAATATAGTCGATCATCGGAACTAATATAAATTGCTCCGGACGTTAAACTATATATTATATATATGATATATAGTTAGTTATTTACGCGATTAATTTTAAAACTTACATTAAAATAAGATCATTATGTAATACTTACCAACTAAGTTAAATTATTTTATGCCTCTGTCTAATTTTTTGATAATAATGTATAAATGCTTCATATTCATTCATATCGATATCTGCAGGGTTTTTTTTTTTTGATAAAGAATAAATGTCATCTTCATCTTTCTCCGATTACGATTCTATATTTGCTAAAATATTCCGATCAAATACTGAAATATGTAAAAAAAATTTAAGTTTTTTATACAGGGTTACAAGATTCATTATTACTGTATACGTAGTTTAATATAAATAGAATGACATGATTTTAAGTTATAATTTAACGGACTCAACCATGACAAATCCGATCAGTAAATATATAATTTAAATTTAATTACGCATCATAGATGTTAACTGATCGGATTTTTTAGGGGCTGAATACGAGTTAAAACCTAATATATACTGTATTTAGTAATATACTGTATAGAATAAAAAATTAATAGTTGTGTATAATGTATGCAAAGTATAGTTATAATAAAATCTTTTTCAAACAATAAACAGTTACCTACAAGATTATATAGAAAGTTAGAACTTAAGAATTGAACTTTATATCTCTTAATGTCACGTGTATATCAATAACAGTTGATAATAATGATATTTAGAAGGTTTACACAGAGAGATCAACTTTTACGATTTCAATTGCAAAAATGAAATTAATTATTTTAGAGTTTAAATCAAAAATTATAATATATCAATTCAAAACGAAAAGAAATCTTGGAAGGAAATAATTCAAGCGCGAAAATTGATCATTAGTCGAAATTATGAAATTATTATAAAATTATGAAATACGGGAATCAAAAAATCTATTTCTGAAATTATTATGAAATTATGATCAAAAAATCTATTTCTGTATTTGACATCGTTTCAATTTCCGTATGCGAAAACACAGTAAATTGTACTCCTCACGTATTATTATTATTTTTATTAAAATTAATTTTACGGTGCAAAATTAGGTTTTTAGAAAATATCAATGCATTACTTTATAATCTGAATATGAATTATAAAGTAAATGCTTTTTTTATAATCTTAAAGGAGACACCAAAATTTTTTAAAGTGTTACTAATAATCGGCAAGATGCTTTTGATTAACATGTGTTCCCTTAAAAATTTCTACGTACCTCCTTAAAAGTTACTTAAATGGTAACATGTGGCGCAGGTTCGATACGATTGCATCATTTTAAGCAACATCCGGAGTAATCCCAATTCAGAATAATGCTAAATCTTGTATCTCCTGCGCAATCGATGGTCATTGAACCTACGAAAGGCAACTGTAACCAAACGGAAGGTAACTAGAAATTCGTGAATGTGAATGCGAAAAAATAGATGCTCAAGATGCATAGAGATTCTCCTTTAGTTCTTATCTCTTGTATCATACAAGCAACTGATGAAAGAAACGTGCACAAGCATAGATACATCATTGTATCTGTCTCCTCATAAACTCATAAATGAATGCCATAGTAAATTGCATTTAATGGAGGATAATGGAGAATAATGAAGGTGCATAAAGTTCAAAGATTTTGCCGAAGGTGGATTAGTTTATGAAATATATGAGTAAAATGAGCAGTAAATGCTCATTAAAAACCGAGGGAAGAAAGTATTTAATAGAGACTAGGTTACTACGTAGCGCTAGCGCTAGATTCAACTATGATAATACTATTTATAGTTGACTATTGTTGGCTATATATCGATATTTCCGATTTAATCCATCCGTTTAAAAATGAAACGAGATATCGTTATAGCTTGGTAACATAAACACAAACAAGAAATTTGTTTCTAAATATGATAGCATCAACATTGTTTGTCAATCTTGCTTTAGTCTACGTTTTTAAACATAAGGCAAAAAAAGAAATAGGGCATGCATAAAATCACCATTCACGTTCGTGAAAATCGGAAATAATAACAATGCATGGGTGCATTGACGGATCCAAGAAGTAATTGAGAATTATATAAACAATCTATATATATATAAATCTATATAGAAACCTATATAGAAGTTTGTCTTCGAATAAAATAATTCCTAATTGATAAGAAAAAGAAAACTTATATAGCATAAGAAAATGCTAAGTGATCAGAACAGACTTTTGATCAGTCTTTTGACATAAATAAATGATAAAGATATTAATCATACAACTTTGTGTTTGATTATGTTAAAATACAATCTTTTGATGTTGTAATATAAACTTATCAAATATATGAAACCCGATAAACTTTTAAAAAAAAAAAAAAACTCCGTACCTACCATCGGTATCTATTCGGTATTTCGGTATCATAAAATAAAAGGGTTCTTTACCGTATTAAGATTTTATATTCTAATTTTAATACTTTAACTTACTAAAAAAGTACAATTTTTTATTGTTTGCTGCGCAGTGTTTGACGGGTTTGGTCTTATGACCAAACAAAAAAGTCACATATAAATAAATAATCCTCAATATATATATATTTAAATAAAAATTTACATAATATTTTATATAGTTTGCTTAGCTAAAACTACTTTAAAACTATATACTTATGTTAGTATGTTAAATTAAATCTGTTATTAACTATTGAAATCAACAGTTGGATCAGTATTGGTAGTATTGAATCTACATGACACCATATAAAAAAACCATTACATCAAATCGCTGATTTTGATTTGATATAAAACCCAGTGAATTTCGCCAAAACTCCCCCAAAAATCCACGAAATTTCAAATTCCTTTTTTTTTTTTTATGCTTTATGATTCACAACTCTTAATTACATCAACTCACCAAATTTTTCTTTCTGAATTTTCTTTCTCTTTAATTCTTTAATTTACGATAAATTTTGGATAAAATTACTTAACATAAATTCGAGTCGAAACTAGGATTAATTGGAGGTTTTTTTAAATTCTTAAAATAATGTCTCAAGGTATTTATCAATTTTTTAATTTCAATTTCAATTTCAGTCTCTTGGGAGAATTTAGTTATCGCTATTTTAATTCTTCTTATTTTAATATTTTTTTAATATTTTTTTATTAATAATAATTCTTTATTTTTTTATTATTTTTTTATTATTTTTTTATTATTAATTTTATTAATTTGAAGAATATCAACAGCATCCTTTCCCACCAACTTTCCAAAGTGAACGTTCGTGGAGCATGCTCGCCAATGACTTTGATGATGATAAGCTACAGCATTATTATCCTTCTCAAGCTTCCGATAGGTCATGGAGTGTGCTTGGTTCGCAAGATATTAGCGATCGACATCACGGTTTAAGTACTTACGGTTATGTTTCTGATGATGTAAATTTACCAAATTCAACGGGAACAGTCGTTCAAGATTATATTAATGACCAACAACAATTGCTGCAACAACAACAACAACAACAAAATTCGGCTGAAAAAACTCAAACAATCCCTGCATCATTTCCTGAACCGGAATTTGTTCCATCAATTACTTCTTCGACTAAAGAATTTTTGTATGAAACATTTAAGTATGAAAGAAACAATGAAAATGGTATTGCTGGTCGTCCAAACGAATACGTCGATGATGATTGTTCGGATTGTCCTCCTCCACCATCAGATATAGATCAATCGGCTCTTAATAGTCAGAGTACTATTTCTCAATCCAAAACAGAAAGTAAAAATTCTTGGGGAATTGGCTATCTTTCAAGTAAGTTTTTTATTGTAGTAATTGATATTTCCTTTTTTATCTTTTTATTAAACTCCGATTTTTTTTTTATAGTCATAGTCTTAGTAATTGCTGTCATCCTCTATTATATCGGAGTCAACATCGCTTATTTGGAAATAGAAGATATTCTTCATTAATTACTTTGATATTTTTGATATTGTTAAGTTGGCCAATGGTGTAAATTAGCGTTCCTTTCATCATTTACACGATTTACAAGTTTTTTTATTTTATTATTTTTTTATTGTTTTTTTTTTTGTTATTTGTTTTTTTTTATTGTTATTATTGATTTATTTTACCATCACATTTACATTTACATGCATCTTTCACACATTTATCATGTTGGTTTAAAGAAAGGCGTGTTAGGAAGTGTGGTGGATTTATTCAATTTTCATGTAAAATTATTGGAAACTTGTGAATTGGTAGATAGATATCTTTTCGTGAAAGTAGATGATGTTCACGTAATTCATATGTATATTGTTACATATATGTTTTTTTTTTTCTTTCCTCGAATGCCTTTGTATATTTTCCCGTCTTTTTTGTTTCAAAAAATTGCTTTTTTTTTCAACTATACTCAAAATTCATGTTGCTTTTTTTTTTTAACATGTGATTATCTTGATAGTAGAAAAATCTGGTTTATTTTTTTACTATCTGAAAGTGTCCAAAATAGCATTCAAAAATAGCATTCTTTATTTGAAATATGGCGATAGTGTATCATAACACTTCATTCTTTATCAGGTTTCGTATAATTCAATACATATATTACATACCATGATTACTTTAACAGTTAAGTATTATCCATAGTATTATTGTATTTAACAATAAATGACTAAAAAAAAAAGGAAACCCTTAAAGTTGCAGTTTTTTATTTATTTATCCGTGATGTAATTTCAAGCTTAAATTCTTATTTAGTAGTACCAGATTGCCATATCATCATAATAGCATACAATAAACAAATTTTTAGCTTTGTTTTAACGATCCATTATGATTACCATTATGATTACCATTATGATTACCATTAGTGTCACAAATTCAAGAGCTACGTATATTCCAAAATACTGTCGCTTTTGCGACAATGTCAGATGATTGATCCTTGAGGATAGTTTCACATTCTTGAGTACCAATTAATTCTTTAGGATTAAAAGTACTAGTACCTGTAATTAATCCTATTTTTTTTTAATATATATATATATTATTATCATTTTTATTTTAATAAACATTTAAAGAATAATTGTTATCATTATTTACCTCTTGATTTCTTGTAATACTTTGTTATTGCAAAAAATAAATTGATTAACTGTTAACAAGAAAATCATAATAATAATAAATCAAACATAATGACAAAAAAAAAAAAAATTATACGATTGGAAAAAACAACCTCCATATTAATTTTTGTAACAATACCCCTATGATTTTTGGTTAATTTGGTAAACACAGCAAGTCCTCCGACCGTCTCTGCAAATGTGCAAAGAGCCGTCGCATGGATACAGTTAAACGGGTTATGTATTTTTTTTTGATCCTATTAAATAAATAAATAAAATAGATAAATAAATAAATTTTTTTTTTTATTTCGAATCCTTCAATATCATCAAGTTTTGATACCTTTAATACTCCCGAACAATATCCTTCTTCAAGACTCGTTATACGCATATCTTATTCCAAAATATTTTGAATAAATAAAAATTAATTTTATTTTTATATAAATTTCATAATTCTATTACATTATATTAAACTTTAAGTTTTTATATAATAATAATTAAAATTTACGAATGCTTTTAGAGAACGGATTTTTAAACTCGATAATATATGAATAAATCAATGGACGAAAATATCGTATAATCGGTCTGTTCAATTCATTCCAAGCTTGAAGTGGATTATGTAACATTTTCGCTTTATTAGCTAAAAATGTAAACGTTCCAATGAATATTGCTATACTAGTGACAATAAGCGCAACGATCGTTGCTGTCTCCATTAAAAAAAAAATTTAAGTATTTCAACACTGCGCAGATTTTGTAGATTTTTTTTATCGTTGGTAATACAAGCTAAGAAAGGAAATTTATAACGAAAAACTGAATATTTGTATATGATGACGATGTTGAAACAAATGACGTGGAATTATCATTTTTGGATATGTAACAAGTGAGCTTATATTTTTTTATCCTTTTTTTCTGATTCATTAAAATTATAATTATCGTTATAGTAAAAAATTGTCAAAATCGAGCTTGTGTAATGAAATTCACAAGGCACATCTGGTTGGTTACCAGTCACACATCGGTAGATATGCTTTACATCGATCGTATAGGCGGATTCTACCGGTAAATTATAATTTGACTTACAAAATATACAAATTTGAAGCTTTAATCACTTCAAAGAACGTAAAGAATTTGAATAACATCTGATTAATAGTCCTTCATTTAACCATGTATGATCCCCTTTTTTTCGAGAATTTACATTCTATAATATATAATAAAGAATAATTTATCTTTCTCATTTTAAAAAATTCATTATATAAAGGTTATTAAATATAACGAGAGTTTATATAACGAATGATTAGTACTGTAGTATCATCTGAAGTTACGACATAAGTCAAATTTAACGCTACAAAAAAGTTACGCCATCAATCACGGGTCACTCAAGCTATGGTATCAGATTAAAAACTAGTTTACTCAAAAAAATGCTTAAATACAATTTTTTATTTTAAAATTTTCTGCATTTTATTATACAATGTCCCGCGTCTTTTTTTGATTGATAAATATTAAAAAATTTCTCAACCTTGCTCATAATTTGAGTTCTTTTAATTTTTACGTTAGGAAAAACCAATTCATTAGAATTTACTCGTTTATTTAATTGCCCGTTTGACCCGGGTCAAGGCAATTTTAGACCCGCGACCCGTCAAGATGCGGTCTAGTTGATCAGATATTTGAAATAGTTGAAATATGATTGGTTAAAATCCATGTGATTTATACGATATCGAAAATATCGTGATAATCCTGATTAGTGATGTTTATTTTGATGTACTTTTACTGTTTAAACAAACCTTCGCGTCTCTAGCGTTTCTATCTTGTTTATACAATTAATTTTCTTAACTTTCGATTTTTTCAAAAAAACCTTTTTTATATTATTATTACAATAAAAGTTAGTATTATGTTTGTGAACATTTCGGGAACAGAAGGCATGCATGCCTATTGGGGTCAACTAATTCTGAAGAAGGAATTGGTATGAACTTTCTTTAATGGTTTTTTGAGATTTATAAACAATCAAACTTTATTTCTTACTATTTCAAAAAGCCAGAATTTCTAACATCTAAGGAAGGGCATTTAATAAAGCAATCTTGGCTTATTACAAGAGATCCAAGATTGTCTGTGCTGGCTTCTAAAAAGTGATGGAACAATCAAAATCAATTTTAGGCCTGGTAATAAAGGAAAAAGAAGGGCTATAGAAGATGTTGGTTCAACCTCCAATAATTAAAGGAAAAGAGACTTCGATTTCAATATAAACAATGATAGTGGGACTAATGTAAATAGAAGACTTCATACACAAAAAAATGATGGATCTTCTGTTTGTGAACAGAAAGAAATTATCAATGAGAAGGTATAAAAATAAGAATGTATATATATTTTTATTTTTATGTACTATTGAAAAAAATTTAGAAATGGTTAGCAAAGCTTTCTAACAATTTTTTTTACTTGTAATAGAAACCTTGCAATAGTAAATGTCCATTCAAGCACATCTTCATGCTTATATCAAATATATTAAAAAAAGTATAAAATACCATCTGAGTATGTTGTTAATTAGTTATGATTTTTTGTATAACTTTTGCATAATCTAACAAAATTGTATGAAATTTTAGTATATTATATTGTATCTTTCGAAACCAGGCAATAGCTTTGGAAGCTACAAAATTCGAAAGAAATTCTAATAGCAGATGAAATAGTATCTTGATTTCTATAACATACAATATAAATTTTGTATTATGTTTATTTATTCACTTTTGAGTACGTAATAGATTTTCAAATGTCTATGTATAATACTATAATAGGTAACTGTATATAGGATTGTGTTAATTTTTTTTAATAAAAACCATTCCTTTTATGTCATATGATTAAAATTTTGTGAGTTTTAGTCATATAATTTTTCACTAATTATCAATTTCATTTTTGGTTATGGAATAATAAAGTATTTCATCATACTGCTGTACTGTATATACTCCAAATACAGTAGGATATATGCTACAAGAAAATATTAACATGCTTTGAAACAATGTAAGACAAATAATCAGAACTATTGTTAGATTGTAGGTAGCAGTCAATAATTTTCTATTTAGCTAAAGAACCCGAATTAAAAAATTTACCAAAAAATAAGAGATAGCATTTTTTTTGATATAATAAAATAGTGAAGCTCGCAGAATAAAAAATAATATAGAGTACAATAACTTCATATATTGTCTCTTTTAAATACTCTCGCATAGTTCTTGTCTTCTAATGAATTATGGGGTAGGCACATCAAAACCAAAAATAAATGATAATGTAAAGTTAAAAAATATAATCAGAATACTTTTTTAACTATTGGTTATTCGTTATCATTATATGAAGTTATTAATTTAGAAATCGCTTCAGTCTTTTCATGTGCATTAAGCTGTGTTGGTATTAATTTTAATTAGTTGTCTGATATAAAAGTATCAGTCGAATCGGACACAGAGTATAAGATTATAAGATTATAAATGTTACGTTTTAGGAGATTTAATTAATGATGCAACAATGGTTAGATTGAAAATAAAGTTTCTGAGTATACTTTTTAAGAGTTTTGAGAAAAAAATTTTAAGTTTCTCAAATATTTAAAATTTTTTATTGACGAGTCATTTTAAAAATTCATATACATGGGAATATTTACATGCAAAAAACTTTAAAAGTAACATTGAGTTGCTGCTCACTTATCTCATTCCTGAAGGACTATATGTGACAAAGCCTTTTGTTTTAATTTATCTACTTAAACAATATAGATGTATTTGATTCAATGGTGTTTATTCTCATATCGCTAATCTATTCACTTTGTGTAATGAAAATTTTCCCTATATAGAAACTGATGTTTCCTAATTTCAGAAATGGGATGTGACCCGGTAACATATATCACATTATTATTATTATTATTATTATTTGTGCATGCTATTCTAAACGTTATCTGTTGTAGTGTATAAATGCTAGGGATGTTAATTGGTCTTGTAGTAATAGTCAGCCGAGCAAGATTTATAAAAATAGCATTTTTAACCGGCATTCATCTAATAAATAAAGTCATAGAAAAATAATTTTTTATACCATTTTCTTGCATTTTAATTTAGATGGGACCGATTGGCTAAATTTTTTCCATACTATTCAGTCCCTAATCGGTCATATCTAAATTACTCAAAAACTAATGCAAAAACCGATAAACTTCTATTAGAAAATGTTATAAAAAATTATTTTTCTATAACTTTATTTATTGGACGAATACAGGTTAAAAATGCTATTTTTTATAAATCATGCTCAAAGTCGACTAACAATTACTGTAGAACCGACTAACATCCCTAATAAATACGTACATTGTTATTAAATTAATTTTAACTCAGTAAGTTACGTAGAGCTCAAATTGTTATTATGAGATAAAATTGCAGTGTATAAATAAGAGCCAAGATTTTAATTAGAACTGCATTGAGAATTATACGCTTCGCTATTTTATAATTATATCTATAGGAAGACCTTATGCAAATTAGATACAGTTAGGGCTGGACCCGTAAAATTTTAGATATAAATTTTTTATAAAAAATCTAAAGCTAATTTTCTAAAATTTTAAAATTACAAAAAATTTATATCTAATATTCTAAAATTTCCATATTATATTATTGTGTTACATAGGAATGGGATGCTGCGCAGGTAGAATAATTTGAAATTTCACAATTCTGCCTGCATTAGCAGTAAACTACTATAATGTGGAAATGTGCAGGCTGTACAGTAGATTAAAAAATATTCGATTTTTCATCCTAATGATACGTATTTTATTTTTAATAAAATTTTATACAAACATAACTTATTTAACTTCTAAGATATATAGCACATAATTAGCTTGTAATACTGGGATCTAGAGACATAAATTTATGTAATCATTTTTATATTTGATCAGGATTGCAATAAATTAAATTACAAAATTGTATTATAATATTCTTCAAAACAATCAGTAAAATTTAAATATTGAATTATTATACATTATTTGACTTTATTCTTTTATATAATATTTTGTTTTATGTATATATATTTAGTTAAAATAGATTTAAGATAGATTTAAAAAAAGATTATTTCTAGATAGTTAAAAATCACAATCATCAATGAGTCTAAAATATTTCAATCGAATGTGTGTGTTTTATTGGGTAAAATTTTTAATTTAAAAAAATTACTTTGCAGGTAATATTTTATTAAATTTGAAAATTAAAAATTTTTTTTTTTTTTTAGCATAGTTTATTATAAGACGTGTCAGCCATTTGTTGTAGTTGATCTCTGCAGTATAACCATATAATATCTATCCTTGATCTGTAATTTACCACTTAATATTATTATGGAGAATCAAAAAAACTACTCTAATAATTAAGCCTAAGAAAAAAGAGATCACAAAAATTAATTGTTATTACTAATTGTTATTAAATTGAACAAACAAAATCAAGATCACAAGACTTAAAAAAAAAATTGATTGCCCTTGCTAGAATCGAACTAGCGGTTTCAAAGTCTTAAGACCAAGAATCCAACCAACTTAGGACCTTAAAAAAAAATAATAAAAAACCTCGAATAGTTTTTTATATGATGCCAGAATTCAACTATAGCATCAAAACCTTAAACCTTGGAACCTTAAAACCTTGGAATCTTGGAAATAAGGAAAGGAACTATATCCCATTGAGGACCTCAGGAATAGAACAGTACGAGACTTAAGGATGTTGTACCCACACTTGTGTCTCATTTAGGTGTAAGAGACCAAGAATCCCCCTGAGGCATAAGCAATATAGAGAACCGCGACGTCGAGGACCGGCAGGATCAAAAGCCCACAAACGAGGCTGAATCGTTATTTGTGTTCATTTTAATATCCCAAATTTTAATTTCGTCAGCAACTTCAATAGGTTTTCTGATAGGTGTTTAGATAAGTAAAAATAGACCCACTTTCTTGTAAATAATTTCCAATCTTTTGCAAAACTTTTTACCGCAACAAGGAACATCT